GGAAGTGGCAGGAGTTAACATAATAATTGACCGGTCAGCAAAATTCGTATCTTACAAAGAAGCAAGAATATATATAATCATGCTTATTGCTTTCACAGATTAGTGGTTTTAATGAAGATAACGCAAAACAATATTAAATGTCAAAGAAAAATGAATCATTATTTCTATGTAAAAATAACAAATGATATAAGATTTCCCTACTAGACAATAGTCTGGTGGATTCGTTAAATTCAATACATAGTAATTATGAGTTCAATTCCGAGAGCGGGCAATATGTATCTGTACTCAGTGGGAAGGTTAAAGCAATAACTGAACTATAATGAATAAGAACTAAGCAAAATATCACTAGAAATGGTCAGCAGATTAAAAACATGATACCTCCGTAAATTAAATAAAGGGGTAAGTTCGAAATTCCCTTAAGGTCACCCGGATTCGATAACAACCCGATGAAGGCTCAACCGCCAAAACAAAGTGATTATTCTGATGCACTTTCATCTTTGGTATCTCAACGAATTTAAACGCTGTACTAGATTGTCAGTTAGGTCCCATTATTTCACCGCTGAAATTGTTAGATATAACCGTAAATTCAAAACCTACTAGTTTCATCTCTCACACTTCTATGGAAATCTTCTCGTCAAAATATCACAGACATTACAAAAAAAGAAACGTAATATCAATCGTTGTCTTCCGTCGCACTGAATCCTGGGCTTGTATCGTCCCCCACCTCTCTCTCTCTCTCATGCTATCCCTCCTCAATAATGTTTACTCAGTTCCTTTCTTTCTTAGTAAAGGTTTCTATCGTTATCAACCTCGTAATCTCCATTTCCTCTTTCATTTATATCATACTTTATTCTTTATAACCATTTTAATAGTAATCCTCTATCTTGAGGGGCTCTTTTACTTGGTGAATTTTAGTATGAGAAATATACGACAATAATCGATATTAAATAATGATTTAAACTATTTCAGTTGACTGCGGTCATGTCAGATTGTCGAGCTTCCGACTTGAAATAAAAAGCAATCTAACGTTGTCGCTAACGTGTCGCCTCTACTGAGCAATTCAAGTAATCGTTTGTGTTAATACGTTGGGGGTGGGGCGATAATGGACACGATGCATCCTACGCAAAAGAAAGATATTTTTCGCAGATCTGAAGACTTTCCACGGATCCGATTCAGAGCACTGGGATAGAACAGGAATTCCCATCAGTTACCAGACATTTTATTGCAAATACGTCGAGTAAAAAAAAAAATGTCTACAATCTACATTAAATCACAACTTCGAGCTTCGTCCTCTAGGTCAAAGCGTTACACAAACTCACAAACTCGCTCGCACATAGATACACACAGAAAAATATTTCTAGGGTGGCTAGCAAATCCCGGTTGCGTTATACACATTCAAACACTCGCACACATGTACACACACAAAAAAATTCTTAAGTTTGCTAGCTAATCCCAGTTGCAGCAACCTGCTCAGACACATTCTTGTTTCAACACCCACAATAACAACTTTTGGTTTACACTGCAACTATGCTGAGCGGAACTTAGTTTCTGGGAATGAGCGCATAATCTGCCTCGGTCACGGCGGCTTGTGACTTCGTGTTAGCCCAATTTCCCTTCAACGCTTGGATCAACTCGCGAAATGGTCGTCAACCACTTCAAACAGTGCCACATGATTGAATGACGAAGTCACCACCTCGAATTCGGGATGCTAAAAAATTTAAAATTCTTCCCACCACATTACATCGACTGCGTGAATTTAAACGTGCGACTAGATTGGCAATTAGGTCTCACCGTTTTACTGTTGAACTAGGTAAATGCAACAGTAACTTGCTTCCTTCCCACCTACGATCTTCAAAGTTTTAAATGCAACGCCAATCATCATTTTCTGTCTTGATGAAGCCTGTTTTTTTATTGTCCGTTTTCATTGTTTTTCACACAGGATTGAAAACTTATAACAACAGGGAACCCTCTTTTGCCGTCCTTCTGAATAGGATTAATTTTAAGTAACACAAAGCCACGTGTTTAATGTACACAATGAATGTCTATATTTCTGAGGTGAGGTATTATGGACACTATTTACATTATTCGGAGTATCATCTTCATCTTTGTCGCCGTATTTATTACAACGTTTCGGCTGTTGTACGTTCCGGCCTTCTTCTGGTGGTTAGAATGTCGAACTGAACCCTTTATTTTGCTCACTGGGGTAGACTGTTCTAGTTCCACGTGCCATGTTTAATGGATGTCAGTAATCAGTTATCTCCTGTTAATTCCGCCTTAACTTGGATAAAGGCGTTAGTTTGATCCAGTGACAGGACCCTAACAGTGTAAGTTCATTACCTGCTTAAGGTGGGGGAGAACTTTGGGAGGGAAATTAACAGGAGATAACTAATAACTGACATCCATTAGACATGGCACGTGGAACTAGAAGAGTCTACTCCACTGAGCTAAATACAACGGCCAAAACGTTGTGATAAATATGCCGACAAAGATGAGGACAATACTTCGAATAATGTAAATAGTGTACATAGTGAAGTTTGAACACATTACATCGGCGTGATGATATTTTAGACTAATTCGTTACCCTTTGGTAGAGTCCCTTTCTTGAGGGATATAAATAAATCATCTATCCAGCATAGTAGTTATTTAATAAACTTGTTTCAAGGCCAGAAATATGGGGTTGAGCGCTAGTGAGACTCGAGGTCACTAGTCAGTAGTAATGGTTAAGGAAATTAGCTCGTGAGCTATTTATTGACTTCGTGACGTCTCACAAGCAAGCGTAATTTGCCAAATATGCATTAAAATCAGATTTAAATGGTAATTTCTTTTGAAACAAAATCTAGATGCTTACTTAGTAAATAATAATTGGCACATAACGCACCACTATTAAACAGAGTTGATTAAATATTTGGTGTGGACATGAAAACTCGCTTCTTTGATCTTTGAATCAACAATATGCGACTTGAATAAAGAAGATTCATAGTGCTATAAAACCTTCTTCTTCATCATCATCATTATCTTCTTCTTCTTCTTCTTCTTCTTCTTAATGCTCTTATTCTTTTTCTTTTTCTTTTTCTTCTTAATGGTCTTCTCATTCTTCTTATTATTATTATTATCCTTATCAATATTATTATTATTATTAATGGTCTTATAATTATTATTATTATTAATAATGAACTTCTTAATGGTCTTCTTCTTAACGGTCTTCTTCTTTTTCTTCTTCTTAATGGTCTTCATATTCTTCTTCCTATTATTATTATTATTATTATTAATGATCTTGTTCTTCTTAATGGTCTTCTTAAAGTTCTTATTCTTCTTCTTTTTCTTCTTCATAACTGTCTTATTCGCCTTCTTCTTAATGCACTTCTTCTTCTTCTTCATCATCTTAAAGATCTTCCTAATGGTCTTCTTTTTCTCATCGATGGTATTCTTTTTTTCTTCTTCTTAACGGTTTTATTCTTTTTCTTCTTCTTAGTAGTTTTCTTCTTTTTAATGATCTTATCTTCTTCTTTTTCCTAATGTTCTTCTACTTATTCTTCTTCTTAATGGACAGAATCGTCCATCTTCTTCTCAATGGTTTCTTTTTCTTATTATTCTTAACAGTCTTATTCTTCTTCGTCTTAGTGTTCTTCTTTTACTTAGTAGCATTTTCTTCTTCTCCTTTTTCTCCTTCTTCTTCTTCATTTCTTCTGCTTCTTCTTCTTCTTCTTCTTCTTTTTAATGGTCTTTTTCTTCTCCTTCTTCTTCTTCTTCTTCTTCTTCTTCTTCTTTTTAATGGTCTTTTTCTTCTTTTTCTTCTTATTCTTCTTCTTCATGTCCTTCTTAATGGTCTATTTCTTCTTCTTCCTCTTTTTCTTCTTCTTAAGAGTCTTATTATACTTTCCCTCACAGCAAGGAAGTTTCAGTTGGTTAATTCGTTTTTACGGCTTATCAACCCTTTGCCGGTTGTTAAATCCACAAAATATTTTTAGATTGTAAGAATTTTTTGTGGGGTGTGTAGCTAACAATGATTTAATGATATAAATTTTACGAATGGTGAAAGGTAAAAAAGCTTATGCAAATAGAAAGTAGAATATCGTCTGTTTTTCTAACTTGCCCAATATCTCGACTTATTTTACTGAGAATATTGATATCTATATCCTAAAAAGAGAAAATAATTTGGCCCCAAAACACAACAAATGTTCCTATTACATGCGTAAGAATTAAGCTGTCAACTGTGACTGAGCATGAATAAGTACTTATCAATATGTGAAAATAAATGAATATATATATATATATGTGTGTGTGTGTGTGTGTGGTTTCTGGGTTCATAACCTCCCGTGTGAATTTATTTATGAAGATGATATCTATAAGTTTTCGTCAAATAATCGACAATTACGAGGGATTATCCCGTTTGATCCGGATGCTGTTTTAAAAATCAAATTCATGCAATCGAAGTTAGGGTCTTTTAGAAGATAAAAAAAATAGATCTAATATTTAATTTCCATTAAACATGCATTTATAGGGAACTGAAAAGAGGGAGAGAAAATGGACCACGCTATAAACATATTAATTTTGATTATGGTTTTCAAAATCAAGGTCGAAAATTACTGGCTTTTAGCTTCGTTTTATCATTTGCTCCTCGCGACGAAAGAAAATTCCTTTCGAAATTGATTTGCTGGTCTTCTGAAACTGGCACTTCATTTCATCTATCTATCTATCTATCTATCTATCTATCTATCTATCTATCTATCTATCTCAGACTGTTCTTATCTATCTATCTATCTATCTCAGACTGTTCTTATCTATCTATCTATCTATCTATCTATCTATCTGTTTGTACGTCTGTCTCAGACTGTTCTTATCTATCTATCTATCTATCTATCTATCTATCTATCTATCTATCTATCCTTACTCTTTTCATATCTCTCTATCTTGCTAGCTAGCAAGCTAACTAGCTGTCTGTCTGTCTGTCTGTCTTGGCCTGTTAATCGTATCTGTTTGTCTTTTTATTGTTTGTTTGTATGTCGCGGTTAGTTCATATCTATCTATCTATCTATCTATCTATCTATCTATCTATCTATCTATCTATCTATCTGTTTGTACGTCTGTCTCAGACTGTTCTTATCTATCAGACTATTCATATCTATCTATCTATCTATCTATCTATCTATCTATCTATCTATCTGTCTCATGTCTGTCCATTTTAGACTGTTCTTATCTATCTATATATTTATATATCTATCCGAGATGAGATATTATAATTACTTGCATTATTTACATTATTCGAACTATTATCCTCACCTTCATTGCCATATTCACAACATTTCTACCGTACGCTCAGGCCTTCTTCCGTTGACTGGAATTTCGAAACGGACCCTTTATTTCGTCCACCGATTCATATCCTGAAATACACATGGCCCAGTGGATAAAGATGTTGGTTAGATCTAGTGACTAGACCCAAAGAGTTTTGAGTTCAATACGAGGCCACAGCAGTGGTGAACAAAAAAGCTTGGAGAGGGGAGTCAAAAGGAAATAACTGATACATCCGGAAGATGCGTGGCACGTGGAACTAGAACAATCTACCCAGGTGGGCGGAACAAATGGTTCGGTTCGAAATTTATCTGAAGAAGGTCGGAGCGTAGAACAGCCGAAATGCTGTAAATATGGCAAGGAATTTGAGGATAACACCCCGAATAATATAAATAATCTATCTATCTATCTATCTATCTATCTATCTATCTATCCCGTCCTGGATATGACGATAAACTACATCCGCGTCCAGGGTAAGACGATAAACTACATCCAATAGCAAGGCCTCTGATCAAATGCTTTGAGGAGAGTGGAACCTCCTCTTAATTTCTGGTGTTCCCAGGTCCACCCTGACCTGGGGTGGTAGCACCTGTTAGGGTCCCAGCTATGGGCAAATAGTTAACACTAGAAATACTTTGTATTATTACCAGCAATAATTTTTGAAGGAAAAATTATTACCAGCAATAATTTCAAAAAAATACCAGCAATACAAACAGCTATACATTCTTTGAAAAAAATATTACCAGCTATAGATTTCTTCAAGGAAAAATATTCGCAGAAATAGATTTTTGAAGAATAACATATTACCAGCAATAAAAATTTTGTCGGCATTTAAAATTTTAAATTTTGTCGGCATATCAACCCATGGAGGTTGATATGCCGTAAAACAAATCAAACTATCTATCTATCTATACTAGTGGGATTTAATTTATTTTTTTATGTAGGTATTAACTGAATTTTGTTAAAAGTGAAAGATTTAAATTGACATATTTTGTACAACTAATTTTTGCTGAAATTTGTTATTTTCCCCCATTAAACTCACAGAAGATATTTCGATGACAGTTATAAATAAAAAGTTAGTACATTTCATTCATATTGCTATACTTTGTAAAATATATTTTTAGCCAGAAATGGTTTGCTTTTTATAAAACGTCATATATATTTCCATTTGGACACTTTTGTATTTACCTTTACACAGTCAGTTTTGATGGAGAGGGGGGTTCTTTATACAACAAATTTGCAAATTTGTAACAGGAATGCGCAAGATGTATAAAAATAATTTTCTTTCAAGAAGGCCGGAGCGTACAACGGCCAAAACGCTGTGAATATGGCAATGAAGATGAGGATAACAGTTCGAATAATGTAAATAATGCATGTATGTATGTATCTATCTATCTATCTATCTCATACTGCTTTTCTCTATCTATCTGCAGTAGACTGTTCTTATATCTGGCTGTCTATTTATCTATCTATAGAGGCTTTTAATGTCTAATATGCAGTTATCAACTGAATTTTGATTGTACATCTTCGTTTTCAGTATGGAAGATTAATTAAGGGACAAGAACTTTTTATTTATTTAAGAGGAAAATAAATGAGATATCCAGTAGAGGCATGACATGTGGAACTAGAACAATCTACCCTACTGGGCGAAATGGAGGGTTTGGTTTGAAATTCCAATCGCCTGAAGAAGGCCGGAACATGCCACACCCGAATCATTGTGAATATATCAATGAAGATGAGGATCAGTCAGTTATGTGACATGCGTGATACACGCTTAGTCGATCATGTATCTTTCGATACATAACTGACGAGGCGAATTTTTTTTACCGCACCAGGTTGCTATTTCTTTCTGCTATCCAGGGCTATAGAACCAGGTCTGTCCTTCTATTTACCTATATCTTTAGAAGAAGAGGATTCATGCCTTTCCCAAGGGTATTAGCACGTAATTGAATGTAATGGATTCGACTGGAATTCGAACTCGGCTCTCCGATTCCTCAATCCGAACCACTCCACCGTGCCTAGATGAGGATAACAGTCCGAATAATGCAAATAATGCATCTATCTATCTATCTATCTATCTATCTATCTATCTATCTATCTATCTATCTATCTATCTCATACTGTTCCTATCTATCTGTAGTAGGTTGTTCTTATCTGTCTGTCTATCTCTCTATCTATCTATAGAGAGATTTAAGGCCTAATATGTAGTTATAAACTGTATTTTGAGTGTACATCTACATGTTTTCTATATGAATGATTAATGTTCACCATTAAGGGACAAGAAAAAACCCTTTATTAATTTAAAATGTTTCGATATTTTATTAAGCTTCATCAAAAATTTTTGGAAGGCAAATAACGCGGAGTTATGTTTCAGATTTTTTTAATTCTCTGTTCCTTTACATTCATTGGTTGTTTAAACGTCACGTGTTTATTTTATCGCGTTTGCGTGCTCGTAGATATTTACCCACCTCTCTCCGAATGTTAAGATTTTACACAAGGTTGATTTACTCTGGATTGCTCATACGCGTACATATGCACCTTAGTATCTATGGCGCACACATATCTATTTTTTGTGTGAACGTGTTTGCTCTATGGTGTCTACGCATGCTTAATTCTTGAAATGTTTGCGTAATTTAAGTGTGGATTCAAGATGGTTACTGTGTTTTAATTTTATGATAAACTAGCCGAATTACCCGCACCTTGCTGCATGCTGCACATTTTTGTAAGAAAATGATGATTGTTTTTAAATCATTGTCATAATTTGTTGAGATAAATGAAGTATTTCAATATTACTCAAGGATCTTGCCGATATGACCTCCATCTGCTGCCTTTCTCCTTCTATATTTTTGATAGGAGTCTATCCCTTATTCAAACTTAAATTTAATTTAAATGAAATGAAAAAAAAAATCAGTGCGAGGTTTTTGCCCCTCGGGGACCCTTTTGATCAAAATGAAATATACTTATCCAAGTACGTTTGCTAATGTAGTTTCGGAATATCTATTGTTATGGTGGTCTACATCTAAAATCCGAGGAGGAGTTCGATAACAAACAAACAGATAGTGGCTACAACTTTACAGCTAGATAGATAGATAGATAGATAGTAAAGCAGGAAGGACAGATAGATAGATAGATAGATAGATAGATAGATAGATAGATAGATAGATAGATAGATAGATAGTAAAGCAGGAAGGATAGATAGATAGATAGATAGATAGATAGATAGATAGATAGATAGATAGATAGATATGTTAGGAGTGAAGTAAGTTATATCATCTTCAAATATTTGGACCTTACAATCTTTAAGTATAGCGTTTTTATTATTATCGAATATCAGAGAGAATATGAAGAAGTGCGAATAAAGTGAAAAACATTAAATTTATAAATGTTTTGTGACATTTTTCTTATTTAATCACGTACACACACACGCGCGCGCACACACACACACACACACAGACATATATATATATAATTATTTATTATAATTTTTTTTCATATAGACAAAAACAATTCACTCACTACAAAGATGCAACTTCGTTTCGGTGCATTTAGTTGCATCTCGACTGGTGAGAACCAAAATGGTTATGAACCTTTCTGTTTGTAAACATGCCGCACGTGGAACGTCACTTCCTTTTTTCCCTTTTTGTTTGAAAGAATAAATTAAAAGGAAACGTATAAAACTTTCTTATCTTTTCTAAAAAAAAAAACAAAAAAAAAACAAAAAAAAACAAGTAAATAACCGGTTATAAAATAATAACAAACAGCATTAAAAATTTTTTTAAAAATCAAAATATCAATTTTACCTACCATAGTTTTTATATAAATGAATCTTAAGTTTAAAAAAGAAAGTAGACGTATAAAAGATATGTGAACGCGCGTGCATATATATATATATATATATATATATATATATATATATATATATATATATATATTGAACAATAAGAAAATAAAAATTAAAATCTTTAGACACACTGGGTTGTAGATTAATATTCTTTCGTTTTTTATTATTATTCCATTTAGATTCCTCGACTAGTTTCGACCGAAATGGCCATCATATATATATATATATATATATATATATATATATATATATATATATATATATGTGTGTGTGTGTGTGTGTGTGTGTGTGTGTGTGTGTGTGTGTGTGTGTGTGTGTGCGAGAAAACGTTATTCCACGAACAAAATAGACGAAAGAATTACGCTGCACAATCCAACATTGAAAACAGCGACCAACTGCGTATGTATGCGCGCAACGACACATGAATGTGTATATATACCCAGTGCAACACAGTTCTATATGTTCATGGTTGTGTGAGTTTATGTATGTCTGCTTATATATGAGTGGCGTTCCGACGACATTTCCCCCCCACCGATACCATAAAAACACCGATATACGCAACCATAAATAAATCGAAAATTTAAAAATTAACCAGTTTGTCTGACGATCGCAAATAGCGTGAAACCCAGGGTCACAAAATCACATCAATCTAGCTAAACACATATACATATTTCATTTCATTGGAACTAGATTTGTTTACGAGTTTCACCTATCTAGGCTTCATCAGATCAACAAAAAAAACGAAAGAAACAATTGTGTGTGTGTCTGCATTTGTGTACATGCTTAAATAATAATTCGTTAGTACTTTTCTCCGTTAAACTGGTGTTTATCAGGATGAAAGAAAAAGTATTAACAATTTATTATTTAAACATTCACACATATACACACACATACACACACACATACATTTCTTTCTTTCGTTTTTTAATCAGATGAAGCGTACAAATGCAAAACGCGTAATCAAATCTAGTTTCAATAGAACGGTTTTCTATCTGTCAAATGTTTCAAAACTTTGTCGGGGTGCTTTATCCTATTTCATATATATATATATATATATATATATATATATATATGGAGGTGAAAGTTATCTGCATGATAAAAATGGCTCGATTTCATTGTGTTCTTGCCCTTATCTTTCTTTCCTAGTTCAGTTGCAATTCTCATTGATTCCCATTTTTGCGACGTCATTTTCTTCGTACATATATTTGAATATGTAATTAAGGATTTTTTTACCAAAGAGAATACTTCTATGTTAATATGAGCTTGATATCTTTTCAGGAAGTACTTCTTCAAAGACACTACATACCGTTTATCTATGTGATAATTTCCTACTTGTAAAGATTCTCAGTTATTACGTCTTTTATAGGCAAAATAACCTCCAATGGCTTCAATAGATTCTTCTCTAAATGCCTTTGACCATTCACCTTGTGAGGAAAAGTAGCATTTTATGTTCCACAAGTATCATGTATCATCAGTGTTAGAAGATCTTGTCTCGCTAGTATTTCAGCAAAAACAGTACTGTCTATTTATTTTGTCCTTATTTCATTTTGCTCATTCAATATTTTTAGAATATGGCAGTGAGGAAGGCTCCCATATTTCAAATTCGACGGCATACACAAAATCTTCACACATATCCTGTATATGTCTATATTTAATCTCAACCATTAGCTCATTAGTATGAACCACATAAACACCCACGACTAAAGCCTGTTTTCAGGTGTTTCTGATTAAGTTTTAACCAAGAATAAGTCCCTATTTACATTATTCGGACTATTGTGCTCATCTTTGTCGCCATATTTAGCACAATGTTTCAGCCGTTGTACGCTCCGGCCTTCTTCAGGTGGTTGGAATGTTTAATGCATGTCAGTTATCAGTTATCTCCTGTTAATTACCCTCTCCAAGTTCTCCACTGCCTTAACCGGGTATTGAACTTACACTCTTTGGGTCCTGTCACTGGATCTAACCAACGCATTTATCCTTTGTGCCATGTGTCATTGGCACGTGGAACTAGAACAGTCTACCCCAATGAGCGAAATAAAGTGTTCAGTTCGACATTCCAACCACCTGAAGGCCGGAGCGTACCACGGCCGATACGTTGTAACAAATATGGCGACAAAGATGAGGACAATAATCCTAATAATGTAAATAGTGTACATAATACCTCGTCCCAGAAATATAGAAGAAGAAGTCAATTTTACCGGGTGTGCAATCCGACTGATGCATATTTCTGGTGCTTCCTGAAAACGAAAATGGTAGAATCACCGGAATTCTGGAATCGCCATTATTATCATTTCTTTCTAAATGATCCATGAGTCCAAAATATGAAGTCACTAATCTGAGGTTTTACATAGGCATCAACTATATGTTGCTGAAATGACTTCCCTGAACTATATATGGTAGTGTTATGGTCCGGTTCCTTGTACCACGGTAATAGTCCAAGGTAGAACCAATAAAGAAGAACTCGAACACGTATATGGTATAACACAGGTTCCTCTCCCGCCCGAAGACAGAGAGTTCAACCGATCAGCCGGTCAGCCGGTCGCACGACTTCAGACTGAACAGTATTTAGTCACCCCCCCCACCCAAGAGGGCATCATGTGGCACAAGGCCGGTTTAACGTGGGATCTCCGAGCCCGTGGGATCGGCCAAAAATATGCCCTTTGAACCCGTATAAACGGGTTCAGGGTCGGTTTACCTCCCCGAAAGAGACTCCGCCCTTCGGCGTAGACTTGTTCGGGTTCCTCCCCGCCCTTCGGCGTAGCCTTGTTTGGGTTCCTCCCCGCCCAAAGGCAGAGAGTTCAACCGATCAGCCGGTCAGCCGGTCGCACGACTTCAGGCTGAACTCCCTGCTTCCTCTTGAGGTGCAGTGTTTATGACGTATGGAATAGTCAATTATGTTATTATGGGTAAGGTCCCATAACAGGTACTAAAATTGTTTATTTCCAAACGATGAATATAATATTCTGTTACATGGTTTAGCAGATATAATGAACCAGAGCCATCATTAGTTTTAGAAGCTCTTGTCGCCATAGAATTTCAGCAAAAAGAATTGCGTCAATTTGTTTTGGCTTGATTTAATCTTGGTCAGTCAACATTTGTAGCTTATGGCAGTGAGGAAGGTCTCTCTTAAAAATCAGTGACATGTGAGCTACAGACATACTCAGTATATATCTATCATTATTCCCAACCATAAGCTCATTAAAATGAGTCTTATAAATGATCCGAGGAATCCTTTTCAGCTGTTTTTGATGGGCCAATGTTGTCAGATATTTCAAGACACTTTGGATTATATATCTAAGTTAAGAATAAGTCAGACTTACCGTATTTGCAAGCAATTCCCAGTACATATTGGTATGATTG